TACCCAGAAAGTGAGGAGCTAATAATCGGGATGGTTCTATTGTTATTGTCTGAAGTATTTATACCAATATTTCATCAGTGATGGCACGTGATGTCACCCGGATATATAAAACTTACTTTCTTAACGTGGTGACATGTGATGTTACCCAGAAAGTGAGGAGCTAATAATCGGGATGGTTCTATTGTTATTGTCTGAAGTATTTATACCGATATTTCATTAGTGATGGCACTTGATGTCACCCGGATATATAAAACTTACTTTCTTACCGTGGTGACACGTGATTTTACCCAGAAAGTGAGGAGCTAATAATCGGGATGATTCTATTGTTATTGTCTGAAGTATTTATACCAATATTTCATCAGTGATGGCACTTGATGTCACCCGGATATATAAAACTTACTTTCTTACCGTGGTGACACGTGATGTTACCCAGAAAGTGAGGAGCTAATAATCGGGATGGTTCTATTGTTATTGTCTGAAGTATTTATACCAATATTTCATTAGTGATGGCACTTGATGTCACCCGGAAATATAAAACTTACTTTCTTACCGTGGTGACACGTGATTTTACCCAGAAAGTGAGGAGCTAATAATCGGGATGATTCTATTGTTATTGTCTGAAGTATTTATACCAATATTGCATCAGTGATGGCACGTGATGTCACCCGGATATATAAAACTTACTTTCTTAATGTGGTGACACGTGATGTTATCTAGAAAGTAAATATTAAGCCGATTTAACCTTGTTCTATTAGATCTTGAATATAACTCTTGCGACGAGTATGAAGAAACAAGAAATGGAGCGTACGATTACGGCGGTGGCAGTGGTAATGTCAGTGAGGAAGAAGCCGCAGCAGAGCACCGCAGTTCAAAGTCCGTCTTTGTAATGCCCACGCTGACACCCCTGTTACTTGAACCCGAAACTATTATTTCTGAAAAGTTTTCAGAAGGATTCCATGTTCATTCACCATCTCAAGACGAGGAAAGTATACTTCACCGCCCCCATAAATCTTAGCAGTTCTTATATATATATATATATATATATATATATATATATATATATATATATATATATATATATATATATATATATTTATATACAACATGTAATGTAATTAATGCACTTTGAGAAAGTAGTTTGTTCAGAATCGTTCACTGAATCGATTCCTATCATTTTTAATATAGGTAATTTTTTATCCCAAAAATAATTAAAACTACGTTAATTGCAGTCACATTAAATGTGTACAGTCAAAACAAACTGAAATGGACCGTAACTTAAGGCAATAAGACTTTTAAGAGTGCTGTTTTATTGGTATTATTACTAATTCTGTCATTCAACAAAAATAAAGAACAATGAACTTTATTTCAAGCATATTAAAGTCTTTGCGTTCATGGATTTTTAGTGTGACCACAACATTCTTCCGGAATTAGTATAACTAATTTGATAAATAATCAGTGCATAAAAATGTTTAACTAAAAATTCAGTGTATGTATTATGATTATAACATAATATACTAATTGGGGTGTATGAGGGTGTGCATCCATTATGTTACATATTGTATATATATATATATATATATATATATACAATATGTAACGTAATTAACGCACACCCTCAGACACTCCAATTAGTATATTATGTTATAATCATAATACATACTTACACTGAATTTTTAGTTACATTTTTATGTACTGATTATTTATCAAATTAGTTACACTAATTCCGGAAGAATGTTGTGGTCACAGTACAAATCCACACAAACGCAACGCAAAGACTTTAAAGTGCTTGAAATAAAGTTCATTTTTGTTTATTTTTATGGAATGATGGAATTAGTAATAATACAAATAAAACTGCACTCTTAAAAGTCTTATTGCCTTAAGTTACGGTCCATTTCAGTTTGTTTTGAGTGTACAGATTTAGTGTGACTGTAATTTACGTAGTTTTAATTCTTTTTGGGATAAAAAATTACCTATATTTAAAATGATAGGAATCGATTCAGTAAACGATTCTGAACAAACTACTTTCTCAAAATGCGTTAATTATGTTACATGTTGTATATAGAATAGGGTGACAAACGAGCACACAGTCCACCTGATGGTAAGTGGTTGCTGTGGCCCAGAGACATCTACATCTGTCCTCGATTACAAAACAAAATGCACATACGTTGTCACTCGTGAGGACTTAGGTGGAATGCCTCGTTTCCAGTAAAAAGGGTCTCCGGTTCTCTACACTCACCATACGAAACACAGCAGCATTAAGCTACTATTTGACGCTGGTATTCTGTGAGAGTGTGGTTCCTCCCAGGTCGAGCCGACCCATTCGTGTTACAACTATACTATTAATATAACTGCAGCATGGCTCTACCACGTAAAGAAGTTCTTGGGGAAGCAAAAACGTCTGCAGAAAGTTTTGGACAGAAGATCCCTACGGAAGTCTCTGAACGTTGGGGTAAAATCCTAATAGAAGGGTTGACGAAAGAACAGAAGGAAAACTTGCTTACTAAAACATAAATCCCCAAAAATTTTCAACTTGCTGAAGCGCCCAAATTGAACATCGAGGTTGTGTCCAGTAATTAACAAATCGACCAAAAATCTTGACAGGCGTTTAAAAAAAAGATGCAAAACCAACTAATTTGTGGCATTGCAGGTTTAGCACGCCTAACGTCAGAGTTAATAAGTAAAGAAATGAGCAAATACGAAATAATTAAACAAATATCCAAAATAAATCAAATTCTACTAGACCTTCACCACGAGGAAACAATGAATCGTAGACGATTAATTATTCCAATGTTAGACAAAAGCTTTATTAATGTAATTCAAGGCATTGAATAGTTCTCTTTGGTGGCAATTTAAGCGAAATTATCAAAACTAACCAAGTCAATACGAGTAGAAAAAGCTAGCATGCAGATCAAAAAATCACAATTATCTGCTTCTAGATAACCCATGGTCATAGGTGTACAGGGAGCGGTGCGTGCAGTCCGCGCGCAGGCTCATTTCTACCCTCCACAGCAGCCCACCGCCCGCAGGCAACCGCCAGCAGCACGGCGCCCCCCGCCGACCGAGCGGGCAGGGAGCGGTGTGTGCAGACCGCGCGCAGGATCGGTTCTACCCTCCACCTCAGCAGCCCGCCGCCCGCATGCAACCGCCAGCGGCACAGCGCCCATCGCCGACCATCCGGCTGCAGAACTATCACAGCCGCCGCTAAAGGTACCACACGCTGGTCGTATTCAATACTTTTTACACAATTGGTTAAATGTAACGATCCCCATATATTGAATATAGTAAAGGGCTATTCGTTAATATTCACTCGAACTCCTACCTAACTCGTAGAGGTTGGTAATGTTCTTGGTTCTAAAACCGCAGTGTTGAAATTGATCAAGCAGATCAATTGTGCCAAATGATTGTGGTCAATTTATATCTCCGATATTTCATATTCCTAAAAGTAACGGATAATATAGATCTATTCTTAATTCGAAGTCACTTACAAAATCATTTTAAAATGGAAGACATTCGCACATGTTCAAATTTATTATCTTAGGATTAGGATTAATTTATGGCAACAATTGATCTTTTTTTTATGACAAAATGTGATCTTTAAGAAGCTCATTGTTTGGTTCCCGTCCATAAATCCTCTAGAAAATACTTACGATTTCGTTTCAATAATACATTGCATGAATTTACTTGACGTCCGTTTTATTTTCAATTGATGAAGCCGGTTTTGACAGTATTACGCCGTAAAGGCCATAAATTAGCAGCATATTTAGATGACCTCTGGATCACATTAGACTTTAACTCGCGTTTAAATCATCACAATTTAAATCGCGTAATTGTTCTCATACCTAGTAAGATGCGTAAATTCTTTGAATTTTTATTGAATTCACAACGTTACAACCTTAGAATAAACATTAGAAAAAAAATTGAAAAATTAATAAAATGATTAGGAATCTGTCTTATAAATCGGAAGTGAAGAAATTTTGAAAAGAGATTTTGCTCATTTTATAGGTTTACCAAGCGCTTTGAGAGGGTTAAAATATCCTGCTCTCTCAAAAGACAAAGACTATGACGCAAAAATGAAAGTCAACGCTTTGTTAACAGATGATTTTATTACGATGGGAAAACAAAAATAAATTATGCAAACAATTCTAAAAAAAGTCACTTTCAACTAGAAACTTTTTCCGATGCCTCACTTACAGGATGGAGAATATTCTGCAACGGAGAAACAGTAAACGGATATTGGTCAGAGAAAGAAAAGGAAAAACATATTAAGGGGGATATAGTAAGTCAGTTCAAATTCTAATTTCGTCCCCACTTGCCCGCGCGTCGTATGCTATGTACTACAGTTGTTCAAAACGACTATAAATCAATAGCACGCTACAGACTATAAACTAGAAATTTCTAGCGCGCTATTAAATACGCTATGTTATAGCGTATTTAATAGCGCGCTAGAAATAGTGATAAGTGAGTATAGTGGCGCCACCGTTGCGATGTTAACAGTTGTTTTTGCGAACTCCGTATTAAAAGTTAAAAATAAAATAGTTAAGTGTGCTATTAAGATTTAAAAACATTATAACCCGAAGACGTGTGTGGAAAGTTACTGTTAATACAAGATAATAAGTGGGATTCAACAAATTATACGAATAAACATCGTAAATTGTATAACCGACAAATAGTTTAACAGTGCGAAAAACCAGTGACAAACAAAAAACATTTCAAAACCTTGTGATAAGAGTGTAAAAAATAAATAAGAATAAGTACAAAATTTATGACAAAACAATAAGTAAAGAAGAAATCAGTGTTAACATAACCTAACTTCTGATTCTCATTAGTCATCCAAAAAATTTATATCATCGTGTTAATAAATCAACGCCATCTATGATCGAGTAAGCCAAAACACATACAACTAAGGTACGAACCGTTATCGATTCATAACGATTAACCGTTCGGATATCTTATATTTTATTTGATACCTCTAGCGTCACCTATTGGCAAATAGCGAAAACATGGAAGACTTAACAAAAATTTTAAAATCAATACAAATCGATCTCGCAGCACAAAAAAGAGAAATGAAAGAAATGGAAACAAATATTACGAGCAGCATAAACAATAACATTAGCGAAAATTTCAAAAAAATGGAACAGAACTATAATCAATTGAATGAAAAAATACAAAATCATGAAAACATATTGGATCGTATGGAGAGACATATCAGGAAGAGAAACTTGGTATTTTTCGGAATCGAGGAAGGAGAAAAATCATACCACGAGCTAGAAAATAAAATTTTATCGTTCATTAATAAAATTAATATTCCTTGTGAGAAAAACGAAATCGAATCTGCAAAACGATTAGGAAAAAAAAGAGAAATACCTAGACCCATCACAGTCACCTTCACAACTGTGGGGAAAAAAATAATGTTACTACAAAATAAGAAAAATATTAAAAATAGCACAATATATTACAAAGAAGATTACCCACAAAAAGTTTTAGAGAAAAGGAAACAACTACAATTGGAATTAATAAAATACAAATCAGAAGGATTAAAAGCTATAATTAAATATGACAAATTAATAATTTTGAACCCAAATAAATCCGATAAAAACCAGAACTCACAACAACATTCAAAAAAAAGAAATTTGCATACTTCTCCAAACCAAGATGGAACAAGCCATGAAAGCCAAGCTCTAAAGAAAAACAAAATTACTGCTTTTATGAGACAAAGAAAAGACTTCGAGAAATCCCCAAAAAATGAAGCTCCAACATCCAGTATCTAACAATTAACGAAGGCCCCCCCCACTATCACAAATCCCAATACGGCTGGTCACCGCGGGGGGAGAAAAATGAAATCGATTTTTCTCTTGACTAAAACCCTCCAAAGATACAGAACAACAATACAAACAAAAAGAGAAATCAACACAATCTCTACATTGGCACATACAACGTGAGAACGCTGGCGAGCCCGGAAAAGCTTATAGAACTTACGAACGCGCTTAAGAATATTAAATACGATATCATTGGACTGTCAGAAATGAGAAGATTCGGCTACGGAGTGGATGAATACGATGATTTCATATTATGCTACAATGGACAGATAAGGGGAAGATATGGAGTCGGATTTATAATAAAAAAGCATCTAAAAACCTATATCAAAAGCTTTAGGGGTTTATCCGATCGTGTAGTTCTTCTGGATATCGATTTATATGACCTACCAATAACTATTATACAAGTTTATGCACCTATTGAAGAGTCTGAATCGTTGGAAATCGAAACCTTCTACAACACCCTACATAGAGCCCATGAAGCTTCAATAAAATATGTAATAGTTATGGGCGACTTTAACGCGAAAGTAGGGAAGGGGAACTTCGAAGAAAGCAGACATCTTGGAAAGTACGGTTTTGGAAATAGAAGCCCTAGAGGTCAACAATTAATACACTATGAACAAGAATATAACCTATCCATTATGAACTCTTTTATCAAGAAAAAGAGCAATCATAAGTGGACGTGGAAGTCTCCTGACCAAACAATCAAAAATGAAATAGATTATATACTCACAAATTTTCCAAACCGATTCCAAGATGTGCATGTTTTAAATAACATTATGTTCCCATCAGACCATAGAATGGTTAGATCAAAAATATCCTTCAAATCCAACAAAAAGAGTCGTCAAAAATTCAAAACTCATATGTGCACATTGAGAAACCAAAGTGAAACAAATTATTACCTAGAAAAACTAGAGCAGAATTTAAAATCTATAAAATTGGAGGAAACACACACGGTTCAAACCTTATACAACAATCTAGAAAAATGTCTATTAGAAAGCATGATAACAGACAAACAAGTAGAGAAACGCAAACTTTACAACATTCTGACCGAGGATACATTAAGTCTAATTAAACAACGTCACGACCTACAAAATCTCAAACCTAAAAGTCGTGAAGACAAAATAAAACTCAGCTTTATCTATAAAATAACAAACAAAAATATCAGGAAAGACTACAATTTCCACAGATTAAAAACAATAGAAAAGTATATAATGACTAGCGGCAGCTGCAAACGCGCGTACAAAGAACTTCGCTCACACAAAACTTGGATACCCAGCTTATTAGAAAACTCTATTCCATCAACTAATAGAGAAAACATCCTCAAAATAGCAACAAAGTTCTATGCAAAGCTCTACGACCAAAAAGACCTTAGGAATTTCGAAGCCATAAAGTTTTACTCTCAAAATCAAACGATTATCGATTGGACCGAAACTGAAATAGATAGAGAAATAAAGAGGCTAAAATCAGACAAGAGCCCAGGACCAGACGGTATTCCCAATGAGGCACTAAAGCTGGCAAGAACACTGCTAACACCGGTGATAACTTATTTATTCAACATTATAAATAAAGAGCAGAGAGTTCCCGAGCAATGGACTAAATCAAGTATTATATTACTCTATAAGAAAGGTGATCCAAGAGATATTGGAAATTATCGACCCATCAGTTTACTACATAGCCTTCACAAACTTTTCTCACAGTGTGTTTTAAGTCGAATATCTGCAAAAATTGATAGAAATCAACCGGAGGAGGATAGAGCAAGCGGGTTTTCGTAGAGGATATTCAACCGTAGATCACATTCAAACTCTCGAGAACATAGTTGAGAAATATAAGGAATTTCAAAAGCCTCTCTATTTAGCATTTATAGATTACCAAAAAAGCATTCGACTCTATCTCACACATTTCAATACGGGAGGCACTGAAGGCGAACAACGTAGAAGACATCTATTGTAATATAATTAAAGACATATACGAAAGAAGCACAAGTAGAATTAGCCTGGAAACAAATGGCCCAGAAATAAAAATAACGCGTTAAACAAGGTGACCCTTTATCCCCTAAGCTCTTCATCGCCGTACTTGAGATTATATTCAAAAACCTTGACTGGAAAGATGTTGGTATTAGAATAAACGAGAATTATCTCAGCCATTTACGTTTTGCTGACGACATAGTATTATTCTCAGACACAAGTTCACAATTAGAGCAAATGATACAAAATCTACAGGCAGAAAGCGCTCGCGTAGGACTACAAATGAACCTGCAGAAAACTAAACTGATGACCAACTGTACAAAAACAACAATAAAGATAAGACACGAAAAACTTGAGTATGTAGACACCTATATCTACCTTGGAAAGCAAGTATCATTCCACCAAAATAATAACATAGAAGAAATAATAAGGAGAATAAATATTTCTTGGAAAAAATACTGGGCTCACAAGGAAATAATGAAAGGAGACATGCCGCTTTCTATGAAAAAGAAAATAATGGATAGTTGCATCCTTCCCTGCCTAACGTATGGTTCGCAAACTTGGATATATACAAAACAGGCAAAAGAAAAAATCTGAATATGTCAAGCTGCTATGGAACGATCTATCCTAGGACTCCGAAGGAGAGATAAAGTACGCCACACCAAGATAAGAGAAAAAACAAACCAAATTGATTTCTTAACCCACTCGATGAAATTGAAGTGGAAATGGGCAGGACATCTAGCTAGAATAGAGGATGCTCGATGGACGCGTCGAGTCGTGGTATGGAAAGGGCCCAAGGGTATAAGAAAACGAGGGAGGCCAAGTAGAAGGTGGATTGACGACATCAAAGACATAGCAGGAGATGATTGGCAAACCAAGGCAAAAGATAAAAAACAATTGTCAAAAATGGATGAGGCCTTTACCCTGAGATAGGGGTTCTCATTAAATTAACAGAAAATAATATTTTCTTTATTATTATTATTTTTATTTATTAGTAATAATGTGTAAATAATCAAATTATATAATGAAAAATACATTTTTAAATTATATAAATTATATTAAACATTAAAAATTGCAAATTCAAATTAATTATGTAACTAAATATGAATTAATTATGTAAATGATTTGTTAGTATGTTATGATTTGTTTATTATTGTTGCATATAACATCTATTGTAAAACAGCATCGAAAATGAGAAATAAAAGGCTTATTTATTTATTTATTTATTTATTTATTATAGCGCGCTATTTATAAAAGTGTGTAGGAGGCCGGCAAGTTTAGCAGCACGCTATATCTCGGAGCACGCTACATTACATGTCGTTTATTGGATAGACCGCGTGCTTTATAAGAATATTGTTTCGTAATAAGTCGCATTTTAGATTAAAATAAAACTAAGTGGAAAAATCAGTGAACGGTCTTTCATACTTTGAGGCTTACGAATTTCTATAACCCTAAAAATATTTTTAAGGCGTGTACTTTTTAAAACAAAATATAATTAATCATTTTTTATGATAATTGTAAACGTTATTTTAACCTTAATATAAATTATAAATCAATTAAAGGTGTATTTAAAAGTTATTGAATATACAAAAATCAACTATTTACAAACACTATTATATACACTTTTGTATCTATATTTTATATACATTTAATAACATTAGTTAGGTTTCTTTTGTAGCAGACAACTGTGACCTTCGATCACTTATAAATATACAGTATACACTAACTAAATAACGTCTAACACTAAATTAGTTCGCATGCGGTGAATAGCGTGCTGCTAGATTAAATTTGCGTCACACGTCTACTCCCAACAGCGCTGCTGCTAGAACTAAACTAATTGCCGCTTGATATGAATAGCGCCAAAGCGTCATAGCGTCATAGCGCCAAGGCGACTACTTACATAATGTTAGGGGTCACGCGCTATGCGTTATGAAGAGATAGCGCGCTATAATATGGCGCTATGCGCTATATTAACCACCATTACTATTTACTGACATGTTTGTAATCACTAATACTGTAAGTAGAAAGGTCGTTAGACACTTATTTCATTAGGTTTATCATATTTATGACTGTTTCTTAATGCTATGCCAGTCGCTTCTTATTCTTATTACGGTTATTTCCCATTTTAATTTTACGTCGTCCTGTTGCGTAATGTATATTCTGATCGTAAGCGACACAACCTCCTCCTTCAGAGGCCGAAGCGAAGTGACCGGGCGGCAGGAATCACGCTTCAAGAGGCCGATAGTTAGGTAATTTCTTTTTACAGTGAAAATAATTGTATTTTATAAAAGTAAATAACATAAGCACTGCTTTATAGTTAGTTCAGTTAGTATGCAAAGTTTCATGATCTTATTTAAAGTATTTTATGAATGACAGCGGTTTATTGTTTATTTTGGAGGTAACTTTGGATTTTTTTTCTATCGAGAAAATTTTACGAAATCGTGTTTTCGACTAACGTAATCCTTAACATTAATCTAACAAAACTTTACCATATATTTATTTCAAAATTAATGCTGCAATATTTTCGGCATAACGAAGGATCTTGCTAAGCCATTTGAGATTATATTATTTCCCCTTAACTATTTAGAACTTGAAGCAGCATTTATGGGACTAAAGTGCTTTTGTTACAATATTACCAAATCTGATGTTTTGTTAAGAATTGGTAACACCACTGCCATATCTTACATTAACAGGATGGGTGGAATACAGTTTCTACACTTAAACGACGTAACTCGAGAGATATGGCAGTGGTGCGAACGAAGAAATCTTCTCATGTTTGCGTCATATATAAAATTTCAGGACAATATAGAAGCTGATAAAGCCTTAAGTATTCGAAAGGCGACCGGCATATTAATAGCACCTTATTGGCCAAGCCAACCTCGCTGCCCGCTATATATGTCCTTGACCATTTCTAATCTATTATATTTTGGTTCTGATAAAAACATCTTACTTTCTCCTTCCAGGATTGTTCATCCTTTGTGGCCCAGC